ACTTTATAGAATCAACAACTGGCATCTCATCTTATTGAAAAATTTTGCACTTCAAAAGAAATCACTGACAGAATAAAAAGACAACCCACAGAATGGAAAAAATTTTATCCAACTATCCACATAAATGAATTTTATGTAGAACATATAAAGAATTTAAAATGTAGGCCCCTCAAATCCAAAGACTTAATCTAAAATTGTGCATCTGAGATGAATACATGCTTCTCTGATGAAGAAATACAAATGGCAAATGTGTATATGAAAAAATGTTCAACATCATTGATAATTCCAGCACTGAGATTCCATCTTACCGCAAAAACGATGGTTATCTTCAAGAAAGCAAATAATAACCAATGCTGGCAGGACGGTGGGGGGAATTGGAACACTTCTCCACTGTTGGTAGGAATGTACATTATTAAAACCATTGTGGAAATCAGTGTAAATATTCCTCAAAAAAAACAGGATTAGTGGTCCTAGTCAGCTCAGTTATTCCCCTTCTGCATGTTTTCCCTTAAGAAGTAAAAACATAAAACCACAGTGACATATGTGTACATGTATATATAAGCACAATTTGTAATAACTGAATCTTGGAAACAACCTAAATGTCCATTCAGCAACTGAAGAATGAATAAAAAATATATGGTATTTTTATACAATGGAATACTACTTTATTATAAAAAGGATAAATGAGACATTTATCAGTAAATGGATGCAACTTGAGACCATACTCACAAGTGAAATAAATCAGAGTTATATGTGTAAACATCATACTATCTCCCTAGTCTAAAAAACTGAAAAGTTAAATAAGACCCAAAATCTACAATAGATATTGTGAGGAGGTTGTAATAAGAGAAATAAACTGCTCAAAAGGAAAAACAACTTGGAAAAAGAGAACTGATTCTTAGAGTGTATAAAGAATACAAAACAGTCAGATTCCCTAAAATAAAAGAGCCAATCAAAAAATGTGCAATTAAAATTCAAAAGAAAAATGGACAATAAATATGTGAAAAAATGTTCAACATCTCTAGCCATTAGATAAGTACAAATTAAAAGAGTGCTGAAGTGACATTTTACTCTAAAAATAATAACTAACATTAAGAAATCAAACAATAACAGATACGGACAAGGCTGTTCATAAAAAGGCATACTTTCACCTTGCTGGTAGAAAATAAATTTGTATCACCACTATGAATATCAGCATGGGAATTCCTTTTTAAAAAACTGCAAATAGAAATTCCATTCGGTCTGTTTCCCTTTTATGTATCTTCCTGATATAAGAGCTAAAGGCATCATGCCATAGTGATACATGTTACCCATTTCTATAGCAGCACAATTCATGTCTATAGAAGCTAAGTCTTGAATGCAGTCTATATATCTATCAACAGATGAATGGATAAAAAATATGTGTTATATGTACAATATACTACTACTCTGAAATAAAGGATAGGAAAATGGGTGCACCCTGAGACCATAAGGTTAAGTGAAGTAAGTCAGATGCATAAATTAAAATATCTCATAATTTCTCTTATATGAGAAACTCAGAGTAAAAAGAATTTAAACAAAAGATAGACAGTAGGAAATATGGAAACAGATCTTTAGTAAATAGAAATGGGATCTTCACATGGAGGGAGGAGGAATGAAAGGGAGTAGAAATGTCCAAAGAAAATTAAGATGTATTATTTACATGGACCTACTCACCACAATGAGTGCAATCAATATGTACTGTGAACATGTACTAATAAAAATTTTTAACATCTTTTGGCTCCTGATTCTCATTATAAATCTGTTTAAAAGCAGCAACAGTACTCACGCCACAACATGAATATTGGGGTGCCTTTAAATCCTTAATCTGCTTCCCATAAAGTCTCAGGATGTGGACAAAATGAAGATGAATTATTTTCAAGATGCAACATACATGGTCTGTAGCCCAATTTCCACTAGAGTTCTCATTCCCAACTAAAACCTCCTGAACCTGGTTTTTACTGTCCACATTCTTATCAGCATTTTGGGATTCAGAACTCTTAACACAAGTTGCCCATCAAGCCGGGCTCACAAACTTCTAGCCATTCTCTATCCTTATTCTTCAAGCATTTCCAAACTTCACCTACAAACCAATGTGAAGCTTTCTGAAACCCACACAGTCAGGGATAGTCACAGCCATGACCCACTTCTCTGGTATTTTCTGTATTAGTCACTTTCCATCTTTGGGGAAAACTACCTGACACCTGCTAGAAGAAAGAGGTTTATTTTGGCTAATGGTTTCTGAGAATTCAGTCTAAGGCTGTCTGGCTGCAAATCAGAAATGGCACAGCAGAATGGCATGGCAGAAGAACATAGTAGAGAAAAACTGTTCATCCACACTCTTCCAGGTCACATCTCTGGTGATTTGCCTCTTCCAGCCAGGCCCCCCTCCAAGCACATGAGTGAGACTTTGGGGAGCCAAATCATAATGATGCAGTTGTGTGTGCGGTAGCTGCCACGTGGGCATTCACATGCAGAAAGGCTGCCTTGATGACTGGTTAAAAGGCCACCTTGTGCTTCAGGCAGGTGCAATACACCTGGATATGTCAGCTTCAAGGCTTCTAAACACATCTTTACACCAAAATCTAAGTTGGCAACACACTGTTGTGTGGTACACATCACATGATTGATTGGCATGCAGCACAAACCCTCTAACCCTCTAAAACCTGTCAAACTTAACAGAAACTGTCTTCAGAGCAGATCCACAGGACTCTGGTCCATAGAAGTTCAACTTTCTCATTACAGCTTTCCCAACGTGGGGCAACACTCAGCATCACAGTGGGTCAGACCATCCTGTCCCAGTTCCTAGGGTGATATGTGAATGCTGCATAGTGGTTAACTTCGTGTGCCAATGAAACTGATACTTGGTATCCAGGTATATGATGCACAGTGTTCTGGCTATGTCTTTGCGACTGGGATCTTTTTATGAAATTTTATTTAAATCAGTGGCCCTTGAGGAAAGCATGTTTCCCTGTGCCTCACTACAGAAGAAGTGGGGAATAGGAGTGGGAGGCAGAGAACAGGAAGGCCCTGTGGATGGTCCTCTCACCTGGTGACTTGGACCCAATGAGTTTCATCAGAGGCTGGCAAGAATTCTGACTTTTAAAGAAACAGAATCAAGCTGGCATGATTGATGGGCACAAAATAAAGAAAGTAGTAGAACTTTGGGATCAGTACCACATACATGCAGGGTTTTGGGGGCTGCCACTATCAGCAGAGGTTCAGAGTGGGTGTATCCTCCCAGCGGATGAGGACTGAGGACTAAGGATTGTGCGTGGGCCTGCATGGCCACACCTGAGCCTACGTTCATCAAATTCATTTGCTGGGTTGGTTACTATGATCCCTTTTGTCCAATTTCCCCCATTTGGAAAGGGAATGTCCACACTTCCCCCACCAATTATTTAGAAGCAGATAATTTGTTGTCTGAGTTCATAGATCCACACATAGTGAGAACTGTATCCCAGAATGAATCATATTTTTCCCCAATTTAGGTGATATATGGATGAAATTTGGAGCTTAAAGCAGACACTGTGTTGAGATAGGTGAATTTTGCACATGGTGTCAATAAGTTTTGGGTGTCAGAGGTTTGGCTAGTATATGAAATGTTCTCCTACAGACTCTTGGGTTGACATTTGGACTCCCAGGACCTCACAATGTCACTTTCTCTTGAAGTGGAGTCTCCAACAAGACCCTGTAGGATGAGGTCACATGGACTGGGATGGTTACCTTACACAATAGCACTGAGGAAAAACACCCAGTGACACAGTGATGCAGTCAGTGATGCCACTCCCTCAAGTCAAGAGCAAGGCCTCCTGGTGAAGAAGAGGGGCCTACATCAGTTTTCCCTGTAACAGCAGAGATTCAACCTGCCAACCACCCCTGGCACTCCTGGCTCCAGGTGGGTACAGCATACCTCTTCAAAAATAGTGCCCATCTCTCCCTGGTCCCAGCAGCCTGTACTCAAGAACACATGTGGCCTGTCCACCTGTGCCCATTCAGTCCCCTGATGTGCCTGTGCTGTGTGCATCCCCAGGTCACCCCAGCCTAGGATGGATGTGATGAGCTCTAACTCAGATGAAGCAGGCACAGGGCAAGCCCTCAGGGCCTCAGCTGAAGTGAGGGAGTCACTGGAGCCCACCAGGCATAACCAGTTCACCCTCTACTCATGCTCTTGAGACTCAGGGATAGATTTAGCTCTAGGATCCAGAGGTCATGGTGAGCCTGATTCTGTGCTCCCATGTGCCCATTTAGTTGAGGGACTGATGTGCCCAGAAGCCTGGGGCGTCCCCATCAGCACTGCCCAGCTTGGGCAGCTTAATTCACAGCTTGATGTGGCCACTCCTGGGCCCTGGCTCACAGAGCTAGCTGTGGTTCCATTCTGAGCACTTTCTGCACAGTACCTCTGGAGCCTCAGGACCTCCCAGGTCCTTTTCTACCTTTGTTCTACTCTCCCACCAACCTCTCTTCTCAGACCTTGCCTTGGCCTGGCTGCCTCTCCCTTCCTGATCCCCTTAGAACTTCCTCCTGGACAGATCTCATTGAGCTGAGCCCAGGTGCCCACCACCTCCTCATCCTTCAAACCTGTCCCTCATCCCATCCCCTGAATACTGTCATCAGGCTGACCACTGAGGGATGGTAGAAAGAAGGCATAGACCCTGGTTCAGCAAGGTAAGATCGATCAGGGCTTGGGTGTTCTCCAAGCAGGAGGTCTAGGAGGAAGCAGTCCCATGGACCTAGCACAACATAAACACAGAGCAACAAATGACAGGGGCTTCCCATTTTCTCCCTGGGCCCCAGGGCATAGCTCACCCACCCCATGCACCCACACACCTACATCAGGCAGCTTCGTCCTCTGACCCAGAAACCCCCAGTAAAAAGGGAACTTCAGGAAGCAGTCTTGCCACCCACTTTCAATCCTGTTCTTAGTCTTTACAGGGGTGGGGGTGGGGAAGCTTCCACACCCCTGGAGACAAGATCTGTGTGAATCCTAGGAAGACATGACAGAGTTGAGATGTGACAGTACAGGGCTGAAGCAAGAGCCTGAGGAACCACCGCAGGCACAACACGGTGAGTGAGCTGGGAAGAGACGGAGGCACGGGGAAGGCAAATACTTCACCTTGCGCAGCCGAGACCATAGAACGTAGTAGGCTGAGAGACCTACATACAGAATGCCCAGGCCTTGCCACAAGTACTGCCTTCAACTCCGGAGTCCACCTGGCAGGGACTAGGACCAAAGGCAGAGGTATGTCCAGGCGACCTGAGTGAGACACATCAGGGGCTGTTAGAGTCCCCTGGAAAATGTGATGTGGGCGCAGGAGGACACTGCAGCAGAAGCAAACAACTGGGGAAAATGGAGGAAACAAGAGAGAGCAAAAAGAGCTTTCAGAACGGGCCGGGAGTCTACAGCGGGAGGAAGACAGGAAAAACACTCAAAGAGCAGCGGGTAGGTGCCAGGAACTAGGAAGTAAGCCCAATGCAAAGATGGATGAGGCCAAGAATGAGGCAAAGCTGTGCTGAGAGTAGGAAGGAAGCCTGAAACATCACAGGAGCTTGAAAGACGAGGACAGAACAGCAGCAAGTAAGTTGAGGCAGTTGGGAGCTGCACAGTCTAGAGCAAGCCCAGGAGCTCAGGGGAGCAGGACTGAGCAGATCAACAAAGGACAAGAAGGTGCTGAAGGAGCCAGGGCAGTGCCAGGGACCTGAGCAGAGCAGCTGCAGGAGAAGAGGGACAGGTGGATGCTGTTGGTACCAGGGCAACTCCATGAGCCCGGCGGAACAAGGGATTCCCAGGGAGCAGTGTGGCTAGGCAGTGGAGGGGAGATGATAGCCCCTGGAACTCAGGGAAGCAGGGACAGGGTAGAGCAACTGTAGGTGAGCAAGAGTTCAAATGATCAGCACAGAGCAGCTATAGGTAAGCAGAGCGGGTGATTACTGGAAGGACCAGAACAGCTTCAGTAGCTCAGGGACCAGGAGAGAGCAGCTGAAGGTGAGATGAGGCAGGCTGGTGCTACAGGAGCCAGGGCAACCCCAAGTGACCAGGGGAACAAGGCAGATTAAATGCCTGAGAGAAGAGTAAGTGCTAGAGGGGAAAGAATAGCCCTTGGAACTCAGGGAAGCAGGGATCAGGGTAGCATAGCTATTGGTGAACAGGGAAAGGTGGGTGGTAGAAGAGCTGGGGCAGCCACGGGAACTCAGATGACAAGGGCAGAGCAGCCATAGGAAAGCGGGGTCAGGTAAGTGCTAGAGGGATCAAGGTAGGACAGGACATCAAGAGCCCAGGGCAGACCAACTGAAGGTGTGGTAGGGCAAGTCAGTGCTGGAGTAGTCGTGGTAGCTCTGGGAGCTCAGGAGGCCAAGGCAGAACAGCTTCAGTTAATCAGGGAGAGGTGATGTTAGAGGGGGTCCAGGAATTCAAGGGGGCCAAGGCAGGCAGAACTAGTAAGCAGGGACAGGTGGGTGCTGGAGGTGCTAGGACAGGCCCAGGAGCTCGGGGGAGCAGAGCAGCTGTAGGTGAGCATGACCATATTGGTGTTGGATATGCCGGGGCAGCCCCTAGGAGCTCAGGAGACCAAGGAGAGGGCAATTGCTTATGCACAGGGGCAGTTGGGTACTGGAAGGGGGCAGTGGAGATTCCAGGAGTGAAGAGGACCAAGGAAGAGAACTTAAAGGTGAGTTGGAGCAGGTCAGTGCTGGAGGAGACAGGGTAGCCCCGGGATTCAGGGACCCAGTCAGAGCAGCTACAGGTTATGTGAGGCAGGAGGGGTTGAGGGATAAGCTAAGGCCCAGAACCTCAAGGGACCAAAGCAGCAGCTGCAGGCAAGCAGGAGCAAGTGGATGCTGAGGGGGCCAAGACAGCCCTCAGAAGCTCAGGGATCTGGGAAGAGTAGCTGAAGTTGACTTAGAGCAAGTTGGAGGAGCCAGGGCAGCTCCAGCAGCCCAGGGGAGCAGGCAGAGAAAATACCTATGAGCAGGGGAGCTAGGCGCTGTAGGGGAGGGGATAGCCCCAGGAACGCAGAGGGACAGAAACCAGGGCAGAACAGCTAAGGTGAGCAGGGGGAAATGGATACTAAAAGAGCCAGGGTAGCCACAGGAGCTCAGCTGGCCAGGGCAGAGCAACTACAAGTAAGCAAGGTCAGGTGGGTGCTGGAGGAACCAGGATAGTAACAGAATATCAGGAGCCTGCAGCAGAGCATCTGAAGGTAAGCTGGGGCAGGTCAACTCTGGAGGAGTCATGGCAGCCCTGGGAGCTCAGGAACCTGGGCAGAGCAGCTGCAGGAGAGCAGGGGGCACATGGGTGCTAGAGGAGCCAGGGCAGCCCGAGGAGCCAGGGAAGTAAGACAGAGAAGCTCCAGGTGAGCAGATGCAGGTGGGTTCTGGAGGTCACACAATAGCCTCAGGAGCTCAGGGACCCAGGCAAAGCAGCTGCAGGTGATTTGAGGTAGGTAGCAGCTGGAGGAGTCAGCTAAGCCCAGACGCTCAAGGGACCAAAGCAGAGCAGCTACAGAAGAGGAAGGGCAGGTGAGTGCTAGAGGAACCAGGGCAGCCCCAGGAGACAGAGGAGCCAGGCAGAGCAGCTATAGGTAAACAGATGCAGGTGGGTGCTGGAGGACATACATCATCCCTAGAAGCTCAGGGGAACAGACCAGAGCAGCTGTAGCTGAGCACGAACTCGTTGGTCCTGGATATGCTGGGGCAGCCCCAGGAGCTCAGGAGAGCAGGAGAGAGCAACTGCTTATGCCCGGGGCAGTTGGGTACTAGAGGGGGCAGGAGAGACCGTAAAAGCTTAGACTACCAGGGAAGAGGAGCTGAGGTGAGTTGGGACAAGTTGGAGGAGCCAAGGAGCCCCAGGAGTCCAGGGGAGCAGGGAAGAAGCAAATGCCTGTGAGCAGGAAAGCTAGGTGCTAGAGGGTAGAAGATAACCCCAGAAACTCAGGGGAGCAGAAACCAGGGAAAAACAGCTATAATTGGAAGGGGAATATTGGTGCTAAAGGAATCAGATCAGTCACAAGAACTCAGAAAGGCCAGGAATAAGTAATTGAAGGATAGCAGGGCCAGGTAGGTGTTGGGTGAGCTGGGACAGCCCCAGAAGACAGGAGAGGAGGGCAGAGCAAATGCCTGTGAGTAGGGTAGCAAGGTGCTAAAAGTGAGAAGATAATGTCAGGAACTCGTGGTAGCAGGACAAAGCAGCTACCAGTGAGCAGGGGCAGGTGAATGCTAGAACCACCAAGGTAGCCACAAGAGCTCAGGTGGCGAGGGACAAGCAGCCACAGAACAGCAGGGTCAGGTGGGTGTTGGAGGGGACGGGAGAGTTCCAGGAGCCCAAGCACTTGGGCAGTGTAGGTACAGCAGAGCAGCGCAACACTGGTGCTAGAGGAGCCAGGGGAGCCCTAGAAACCCAGGGGAAGGAAAGCAGAGCACTAATAGGTGAGCACAGGCATATGGTTCTGGGTGTCCCAGGGCAGCCCTAGGAGCTCGAGGCACAAGGGCAGCAACTGCCAGTGCACAGAGGCAGGTGGCTACAAGAAGAGCCAGAAGAAACTCCAGGAGCTGAATGGAACAGAGCAGAGCAGCTGACAGTGAGCAGGGGCAAGTCGGTGCTGGAAGAGCCAGGGCAGCCCCAGGACTCATCCTATGGGAGGCTAATAGAGAAACGGAGCAGACAGGCCCAGCATGAGATTCTCAGTGCAGAGGCAAAGCCGGTGGAGTCCCAGCCCTGGCAGGAAGGAAGCAGAGGAGTAGGTCAGGACTCCTCAGGTTAAGGTACATCAGCAAGTGGCAGGGCCAGGCAGCCCCCAGGGGCTCAGGGGACCTGCTCTTCCTCCCCCCACCTCAGCCAGCTCTCCTTTCACTGATCTACCCTGTCCCTCTGAGCACCTGCTCTGTGCCCTCCAATCTCGCAGTCCACCTGTATGTGTAGGAGAGGTCTTGGGCCAGCGGGGGATGCTGGGGGAAAGGAACACAGGTGCTGGAGGGCAGGCCTTGGTGCAGAGCCACAGTTCTGGGCCCTGAGAGGGTCAGGCCAGAGTAGAGAGGGAACTTGGGCAGGAAAGTTCTCTGAGGCTGGTCCCCCAAGCACATCCGATGGACAGCAGTTCTGGGGTCAGTCTGGCTCTGTTCCTGGTGGCTTGTGAGGACCAGGACAGGGGAAACCTGCTGAAGCAGGACAAGGAGGAACAGGGCAGTTGGTCCCACAGAGGGGAGGATGCAGGACCCCTGAGGGCCAGAGAAACATCTGCTGAACGATGGATGGGGTGCATGTGGGGAAAGGGAGGCCAGCAGGGTCCTGGGCTGAGGGTAGTCAATGAGGGCATGGGGGCATCAGCATCCTCAGGTGTTGGGGTATACTCCAGCCCCAGGGCTTAGGGCTGCTGGCAGCAGCAGAAGGCACAGGAGTCTCCCAAGTACCTCAGGTGCCGGCAGCATACAGGGAATGTGGTGAGGACATGAGTGCAGATAAGAGGAGACACTTGTCCCCTGAGCTGAGCTCAGCAGGGCCTGTCCTGGAAGAAGTCCTGGGGAACACAGGAGGGAGAAGGTGGCCTGGCCTGGTGCCCAGGGCTTGACAGGTGGGACTTAGGGTTTTGGTTGTGTGTGGCCCTGAATGGACCTCAAAAAGGAGTGCAGGGGAGCCAAGGAGTAGCAGGGTCCAGCTCAGGTCTTGGAGCCTTGCTGCCAGCCTTGGGAAGTAAGAGACTGTGGAGATACTTCCTGGAGTTTCCTTCAGAGCAAGAATGTGAGGTCTTGTCTCAGAGAGTACTCCAGAGGACACAGATCTGCAAGGGAAAGCCTAGGGCCAAGGCCCTTGGAACATGGTTTGGGGGCAGAGCTCAGGTAGAGGGTGTTCAAGGTTCCCCTACCAAGGAGGGGACTCTCACTGGGGCAGGGCCAAGCTCAGTAACAAGGTTATGGCTGTGCTGAGATCATAGGACCCAACAATGGGGACACAAGTCAGGCAGGCACACCAAGAGGCTATATACAGGTGGGGACCTTTGGGTCTCAGCAGGACCCCAGGAGAAACAGGTATCAGAGTCACGGAATGGACTGCAGGCCCAGAGCTTCCCCAGCTCTAGTGGTTCATGGAGTGCTGACAGGGCTGATAAAGACAGCTGCCCAGGAGCAGGGACAGGTGGTTGTAGAGAGGCATAGAGGCCCTGCTGGAGAAATGAGGCTACAGCAAGCTGGAAGCACATTGTGGATGGGCTAGGGCTAGGAAATCAATGGGCTGGACTTGCCTGGAACTCATGGGAAGGGCTGCCTAGTGGCAGATAGAGCTAGGCACATGGGGCCCAGTATGGGCAGGTGTGGCTGAAAGCCTAGATACATGACTCTGCCTGGATCTTAAGAACACCCAGACTCTGAAGAACCAAGGACAGAGGGTCCTCCATGGTCCAGGGTCAGCTGTGGGGCTATGGAGCCAGTGGGTTGGTCTGGCCCAGAGTTTGCATGGACAGGTAGCTAAGGTGGGCAGGCAGAACAGGGCAGGTGGGCACCAGTGGCCACAAGCACGCACCCAGAACCCTGCCTAAACCTTGCCAAGCACCTAGACTATGGAAACATAAGGACAGAGGTTCTTCCATGATCCAGGGTCAGCTGTGTCCAACACCAAAATCACCTGATACCTTTTTTCTTCCAGCCAGAACAACAGCCCCTTCCGTCTTCCCTCTGGCTTCCAGCTGTGTAGACACATCTGGCTCAATGACGACCCTGGGCTGTCTGGTCAAGGGCTACTTCCCTGAGCCAGTGACTGTGAAATGGAACTCAGGGGCCCTGACCAGTGGAGTGCACACCTACCCGGCCGTCCTTCAATCAGGCCTGTACTCACTCACCAGCATGGTAACTGTGCCCTCCAGCCAGAAGAAGGCCACCTGCAATGTAGACCACCCGGCCAGTGGCACCAAAGTGGACAAGATTGTTGGTGAGGACAGTTCCCAAGGAGACATGGGACCCCTGGAGACAAGTGTGGGGGTCGGCATTCCTGGGTATACTTACCACAGGCATCCAGAATCCTCTGTCTGGCTCCCTAGTGGATGCTTCTGCCCTCTGTGTTCTGGGAAATGGCCTCTAGGTGTTTGCACCAGGCTCAGGGTGGGTGAAGGCAGGACCACTTGTCTGTGGGAGACAGAGAGATGACCACTGGCCTCAGGCCTTCTCAGAGCAGCCTGGACCTGATTGAGCTCTCCCCGCTGGCCCAATCCTCCCCTCCTTAGGGCAGTCTCTTTTCTCATCCAATCCAAGTAACCTCAGACTTCTCTCTGCAGAGTCCTGGGGTCACACTTGCCCACCCTGTATCCCATGCGGAGGTGAGTCACCAATCTTCTCCTCTAGTCCAGGAGATGGATAAACATGTGGAGAATGTCGTGTCAGATGGCGCCCCATGGCTGACCTGTCTTCCCTGTCTCTCATACCAGCTCCTGAGCTCCTAGGAGGACCATCTGTCTTCATCTTTCCCCCAAAGCCCAAGGACACGCTTATGATCTCTCTGACCCCCAAGGCCACATGTGTTGTGGTAGATGTGAGCCAGGAAGACCTCGAGGTTGAGTTCACCTGGTACATGAATGGCAAGCTGATGAACACAGCTGAGGCAAATGTCCTGCAGGAGCAGTTCAATGGCACATTCCGAGTGGTCAGTGCCCTCCCCATCCTGCACCAGGACTGGCTGTCGGGCAATGAGTTTACATGCAAGGTCAACAGCAAAACCCTGCCTACTGCCATCACGAGGACAATCTCCAAAGCCAAAGGTGGGAGTGCAGTGCAGGCAGGTGGGAGGTTGTGGGGGAGGATGTGGAGGTGAAATGGACAGGCCCTCCTTAGTCAGCCCTTCATCCTGGCATTGAACATGTGCTGATCTCTGTCCCCACAGGGCCACCCAGGATCCCACAGGTGTACCTCCTGCCCCCACCCCGAGACGAGCTGTCCAAGAAAAAAGTCAGTCTGACCTGCATGATCACTGGCTTCTACCCTGCTGACATCAATGTGGAGTGGGACAGCAGTGAACCTTCAGACTACAAGAACACCCCACCTGTTTTTGACAGTGATGAAACCTTCTTCCTCTACAGCAGGCTCAAAGTGGATACGAATGCCTGGAACAATGGAGAAAGCTTCACCTGCTCCGTAATGCATGAAGCCCTGCCCAATCATGTCATACAGAAGAGCATCTCCCGGTCTCCGGGTAAATGAGTGCTGTGCCCAGCAAGCTCTCACTTATCCCACAATCTCTTGAGTTCCACAGGACCCTGTGCCCGAATACCCATGTAAATAAAGCACCCAGCACTTCCTGGGATCCTGACACACTGTCCTGGTTCTTTCCGAGGCAGAGGACCTGTGCCACGGGGCCATGGGCTCTGGGTCATGCAGAGGCCAGTCCCACACTCTAGTCATCAGGGACAGACAGCAGTCTATATGAGAGGACCATGGCACATGTGTCTGCCCTCACAGGGGCAGGCATGACCTAGCTGTCCTTCCATCTCCAGCTGAGCCTATGGATGCCCAAGGAAAGGGACACTCAGACTTACCTCTCTAACAGCCTGTCTTTGTCCTTCAAGTCCTAGTCTTAGGGTCTCTTTCTACTGCAGAGACAGCAGGCCATGACCCCCTCACCTGTACAGGGATAGCTACCCCTGAGGACACTGGATTTTGCCCAATCATGGGAAGCTAGCCACTCCAGAGATACCGCGCATCCATGGTGACAGTGTACACCCCTGGGGACACTGCACATCCCTGGGAACAGTCACTCCTGTGCTCTCAAGTGACTGAGGCACTGCCTTGGCCATCCCAAAGAGCAGTGCAGACACCTGGGTGACCACTGAGCCTTGAGGGAGGGCCATGACCTGAAACCCATTAGAACAAGGCTGTTGACCCAGCCCACACTGACAGCACATACCTATGGACATCTGGGCACACATGCATATACCTAACACCCTGAATCCACAGTCAGCCTGCAGCACCTACACACCCCCACATTCACATCTCACCATGCACACACTGACCAAATGTCTTGTTACCTCTCCAACATACAAGTCTCCCATACCTGACTGATCCTAGACACTCAGGCCTCAACCCAGCCTACAAGAAGATAAACCTGTGCCATCAGCTTTGTCCTACCATCTCTCCAATGCCAGTATTATTTACCAGAGAGCAGGCAGAGGGCCACAGCCTGTGGTGTCCCAGACCCTGATACTGCCCACCCACTCTCATGGTGAGGGCTAGAGCAAACAGGGAGGGTCCACACAGTTCAGGATTCCTGTCATTTCATCTGCAGTGTCTGGGCAAGCCTGGGCCCAGAAAACACTGGAGGACCCAAGGCTGCTGTCTAAGGAGGTTTGCCAGGGAGAATTTGTCCAGACAGGCAGAGGTGTCCCTTCCTCCCTGGCCTCTTAGCAACCCTGTGCCACTGCACAGGAAGTTCCCTGGGCTCAGCTGGGGACCCATACTTACCACCCCCTCCTGTCCAGAGCTGCACCTGGACGAGAACTGCGCCGAGGCCCAGGACGGGGAGCTGGATGGGCTGTGGACAACCATTACCATCTTCATCACCCTCTTCCTGCTCAGCGTGTGCTACAGCGCCACGGTCACCTTTTTCAAGGTTGGCATACTGCCCCCAATGCCTGTGCTGCCCATGCTGTCCCCATGATGACCCACACAGTTCTCAAAGTGCTCCCACACTCTCCCTAAGTGTCTGCACAATGGTCCACACTAGCCTATGCTATCCCCACGATGTCCCCACAAGATCACAAGCTGTCTTCTCTATGCCATCCCCAAGTTGTCTCCGTGATGTCCCACACACTTTTACTTATGCTCTTCCCACACTATCTCCATGACATCGCATACTGTTCTTCACATGTTGCCTCCATAGTATCTTCATGATGTCACTTGCGGCTTATTCATGATGTCCCCAGCATCCCCAGGATGTTGGCTTTATCATTCCTGTCCTCTTTATGCTTTCAGACTGTCTGCATGATGACCCATGACATTTTTTCTTACTGTCTCCACAAATTACCATGCTGTTTTCCCCGTGCTAGCTAGTTTGCTCCCATGCTGTCCCTGTACTGTCCCCAACTCTGTCAACAATTATCCTCACACCTGTCATTACATTGTCTCTGCCTTAGTCTGTCCTATCCCCACTGTCCTAACCCTGGCCCAATTCTGTCCCCATGCTGTCCCCTGGTCACACTGCCTCTTGCAGCATCCCATGATGCCATAATTGCTCACCACTATTCCCGCAGGTGAAGTGGATCTTCTCCTCAGTGGTGGAGATGAAGCAAACCATCGCCCCTGACTACAGGAACATGATTGGGCAGGGGGCTTAGGGCCCACCCTTCATGGGCTCCAGGGTTCCCAGACCCTTGCAGGATCTCGTCCATTACTTGCAGCAACTGACCCCCAGGTCACACGCTCCTCTGACCTCGCTGCCTCTGACCCTGTGGATCAGTGATCCTGCGCTCCCACCCTCCCTGACCTGGAGGACTCGTGGATAGCAGGTGCGCCTGGCCTCAGCCACCTCAGAACAGTCACCATGACCCTGGCCAAGACAAACAAGACATGTGGCTTCTCTCAGCAGGACACCCTGCCTCGCGAGCAGGATCACCCAAGAGGAGGCACAGGCCAGCATTATGCATGTCCATCTAAGTGGGACCAGCCTTGGAGCCAACCCTGTCCACACCAGCTTCTCCAGCTCAGGCATTTCTGAGAAGGGTGGGGCTGAGACTCTCCAGGGAGACTGCAACACTGAGTCCAGCAAACTCAATCACTGGCTCCCAGCAGGGGCTCAGAAAGGGCTGCTTACAGTCTTTCCAATGGAATTTACCAGCCTGTGCCTAGTGAGCCTGTGTTAAGAATCTCTGAGGACCCAGGTTTCAGCAATGGCTTGCATTTCCCTCACGTGTCCTCTGATGCAGACCCTGTGTACTGTCTCTCCTTATGGTCCATATTGACACTGCTGGATCCAACATATAAAGCCTGACCACTCCAGGCCTCTCTGCACTGGTGATAAAGAGCTGGCCCCAGGATACTACCACCTCCACTAGGAGCCCAGAGCCACTACTGCGAGATGCTCAAGGGAGAATCTGGTCATGTGATGGCTGCAGAGCACCAGCAGGGCGGAAGAGGATGGCTGTCACCATCTATGCGTTCAACAGGGTCTGGTGGGTAGGTCTCAGGCAGTGCAGATGTGGCCTTTTGGGTTTCAGGAACAGAGGAGGCCCAGGAACACCTGTCCCAATGAAGGCACAGCTTGATGGCTGTTGAAGACATCAGGCCCAGGACTTCCCTGCAGGATCAATGTAGACTGCAGAGCACTGAAGCAGAAACCCCCAGGTAGACAAGATACCCACAGAGAGAGTCCAGTAACCCAAGAGCCAGGACTCGGCTGACTCCGTACCAAGGGTTCATGTGTCATGGCCCTATCCAGCTTGGGGAAAATGCCCAGCCACACCCTCCAGTCAGGAAGAAAGACACAAGCAGTAAAAGAGAGCAGACACTGCCCCGTGCTGCAGGAAAGCCCAAGGGACAGCTCAGTTCAGCTTTGAAGCTTTGTTCTGCTTATAGTGTTCTGCAGCCTATGATGTCCTCCAAGTTCTGTCTTTAATGGCAATAAAACATCCTTGGAACATTGTGTATCTCTCTGTGGTCTTCTGTTCCCAGGCCCAGGCACAAGTGAACAGAACAACACCAGTAGCTGTACTAAGCCTCCCAATCTTCTCTTCCACCCTCCCTGTGCACTCAACCTCCCTGCCTTAGGTTTTCTTCCACTTGGGCAATTCCCAGCCTGTCCCAGGCACTTTGGGGAATGTGGAGGGCAGGCCCATCTCAGGTTAGCCAGCCAGAGCTTCATGCACTAACCACATCACACAGGAAGTGTGAGTTTTGTCTCTCTGTCCTGGGCTACACGACACAGGACACAAGAGCCTGCTTGGGTAACACACATTTATTCTCTTGGAGCACTAAAGGCTGGAGGTACTGTGTCAAAGTGTGGGCAGGGTAGTTTATCCTGAGGCTTTTCTTTTTTTATTTTAAAAAGATTATGATAAAAGAGGACATAACAAAACAGATCAGATCAGAACAATTTAAGCAACATAGTGTTTCACCACAAGACAACCCAACATAACAGTAGCTACCATAGTGTCTCTTTCCTTGAAATACTTCACTTGCAGTTTCTGAAGCTCTTCTATTTTCTGTGTCCTAATCTCCTCTGTTATGAAGACATAGATGGAATTAGGTCCATCCGCCCATTAATGCCCATTGTATTGTGTCCAAATGCAATACATTCTGAGGTCTGGGGCTAGGACTTCACATAAAAATTTGTTGGGGACACATTGATGCCCTAAGTTCCACTTCAGGGGTCACAATTCACTTACCCATCCCAACAGCAGAGGAATTCTCATCCAGTCAATCCCACCTCCAAGTTCCAAATTTCATGCCAATAGCACCTGAATCAGCGAAGACCTACAAGAGATGATCCCAGGCAGGAGGGAAAGGCAGGAGACAAACAGGCAGTGAGATATTTACAGGGGAGGAGAACAGATGCTCAAGTTCTGGACAGATAGCTTTTGGGACAGGAAAAGGATAGAGTTGAGATAAAGCCTTTCACAGAATGAGTGAGGGAATGGGGAGGGCAGGCAGGGCTCACATAGTCAGACAAGTGAACAATCGCCACGGAGGCACACTGTCTGTTGACAAGGCTGGCTGAATCTGGACTGGTTGATGTACATTCTGGGAGTCTGTCCTTCTGGAGACTAAGGACACATGTGCACAGGAGAGAGGCCTCATCCTCCTGATGTGTCAGGAGGGGATTCTGGAGTCCTGGGGTGGAAAAGACTGGGACAACTGGGAGGGAATAAGGATGGATTCATGGCTGAGGCCTTTGTAGCAGATGTAGACAGAGGGGAAGTGGGGGGTCTGTCTGGAGCAGGCAGTTCTGTCTGGGTGTCCAGGTTGTGCTTGGGGTCAGTCCACACCCTCCCTGTCTTCACATTAACCTTCTAACCAGGAGTCAGTAGGTCCAATGGCCAGACTTCTCTTGGCCCATTCCTCAACTTTGCTGCTTGTGCCTCTCCAGCTCCCTGGCCAAGTGTCAACCTCCTCCTGGCTAAGCACCCACAGGACCTGCAGGATTGTGCTAAACAAGACTGACTTCATGGCCTCCCTAGTGGACACAGAGGCCAGCACAGCCTCTTTCCACCTCCTGCTTCTTTACAGCACCCGCAGTCCCCCCATCTCCTTCCATGTCCATTAGCATGCTACTCTTTTCCTGACCACTCACTGGCTCCATAAACACAGATATAGCACCTTGA